TAAAATATAACGATATTTTATTCATTATAATATATCAAAACAATAAGTGTTATTAAATATATCAAATAACATAATTTAATGTTACTTAAATACATTTAACAATAGCATTTAAAATAACTTAATATTTACTTTTCTATTTCAAAGACTGAACTTGGAGGAACAGGTTAGTTCAAACCACAGGCATAAGGACATAAATAGCAGAGATCCTAGAGAATGGAGCTCAGCGCAGAGATGCAATGTCATCAAGGAAGCCTGGTGAGAGGGAGGTAAACTGATCTGGAGGCCTTAAAAGATAGTCCTTAAGGAAGAGAGAGTGTGCAATTGGGGTTTTGAAGGTATGCTATTTGAATTTTATATTTATATATCAAAGTTTAATAATTTCTCTGTTTTGAAATAGATATATAATTCAGAACAAGTTTGGTGGTTTTATTCTACCATGAGTTTTGGATTGACAGAGAATCACAGCTGTTACTAAACAAATTCATGAGGCATATGCTCTCAACTCACACTTAACCAGTCGTGTCTATGTGCTACACACTGCGATATGGCTTATGTTCCATTCTCTTACTATTCAATAAAATAATTATTAGCATACCCATTTTACAATTGATCAGATTGAGGCCTGAGAAGGCCGAAGAAATTTCTTGGGTTCACACAAATAGCAGGTAGCAGAATTGGGACTGAAATCCTTATTTTTCTGACCCTAAAGTCTATAGCCTTAAGTTTAACCTTAACTTTGACATTAAACTGCCTTTAGTCGGCTCATGTTTACAGTGGGCCATCAGCATTCTTTCCATCTTTTTGGATTGGAATAGCTAATTAGAATGGTCCTACTCCTTTTAAGGAGAAAATGTATTTTATTATTACTATCAATTTAAAGTTTAGAGCAGCCTCCCACCTCCCACTTGAAAAAATCCAACACAGGAGAAAAACAATCTCTGAACTACAGGACATTGCAATCCAGTTATTGCTACAATGATTTCTCTGTGGTTGGATTTGAATAAAGTTCTTGGAGGTAATGGCAATATTTTAAGTGTATTATTATTAGTTGTAATAGTAACATTCCTTAAATATTTACATTGTACTAGGTATTTCTCAGAATATATGCAATATACTATAGATTTTTCAAAGGATTTATCTAGACAGATATCTAAGACCGAATAGGGTTCAAACAGTATATTAAGCCTTGGTTTATTGGGAACTAAAATTGTCCCTATGAATTTGAACTTAGGTTTTCTTATTTACCTAAAAACATGTCGCTATGTCTACTGGTTTAACTTAGCAGGCTGCTCTGCCCTGATCTCTAAAATTGTAAAAAGTTGATCCAACTAAATCCCTTTAACATGTGTAAAATAACTAGACTTTACTGTTCTATTCTAATCATGAAAACCATCATGTTCACAAGATAACCGTACCCTATATTTTTGAATCTTTTTCCTGGGAAAACCCTGACAGCAAAGGAGAATTAAGTGGGGATGATGGCCATTTCTGGACTTGGGTTTTGATTTTTGAGCTTTGGGCTGCTCGTGAACTTAAATTTGATTTGTATCTCCATTTGACTTTAAAATTCATGCAAATTTAGCATTTTATTCCACAAAATGTTTTAATTTAACAAAATCAATGAAAAATTAAATTAACACTGGGCCCACCTACTTCCAGACTCCTTTAAGTGAGATCATGTTTTTTTGTAAAGATATTTTCAATTTGTTATTCTGATTCTTGGTCAAGAGCTTCTAAATTGAAATATAATAAAAATTAGAAGGATGTAAAATAAAAACAGATAAAGATGAAGCCTAGGACCTTGCAGGTGATACAAAATGTGTGTGGGTGATAAATATGGGCATTAAATGGGTCCTCTCACCTAGGAGCTCCTCTCCAGCAATGCCCTGCTCAAACTCCCCTAACATAGAACTCTGATTCAAGCAGAACAAAAAACTAGTGATACAGTGATGCCAAGTCTGATGAGACATCTGAGTTAAGGCCATTCTGAGGCACTTTAAAACACATTCAGTTTTATTCTTCCCATAAATTCACCACCTCAGAGACTTTGGATGAGAAGAATATTGAGGGATGAACATATCCAGGAGAATGGGAAAAGGCAGTAAAAGGAAGTACAACAAATACTGCATAGAATTTTGTCCCCCTAACCCCATGGCTCATTGTTATAAATGAAATGGTCTGCTTACCTCAAGCAAGTATTCAAAAGGCACATCCTGCATGCCAGCCCTGTGATGTCTTAGATGTCGGTGTCTTAGAGGCACTGGCTTCTTGCTTCATGAAGCCCATGTCTAGTGAAATCAGGTGAAGGAGAAGAGGTGATTTGATGGTATTGAGAAAAATAGGAACAAGCTAAAAGAAGTCGATTGAAATAACTTGTTACTAAAACTTAAAATAAAAGCTTTGCTAATTGCCCAAGCTTTGGAGAAATAAGTGCATTTAAATTATTATTTAATAATTTAGTAAAAGGTAGTGGTGTGAATCATAAAATAAATTAATGCCTAGTGGCTGGGCAGAGAAAAACAAAGATGAAGGAAGAACAAATAGAAAGGAGTAGGTGCTTCAGGAAGAAGATTCTTGAGAACATCACACCTTGTCTGTCTCAGACCACAGCCACACTCCAAGGGACAACAGCCCTATGTGGCCTGAGAGAGGAGGCTTTCCTCCTTCACTCAGACTCAGTGCTTGATCAGCACCTGGAGTGACAACAGTAGGACAAGTAGAGTGTGCCTGAATGACAGCCATGATGATCCTGCCTCAGGAGGCCAACCAGATCACTCACGTCTCCCAGTTCTTTATTCTCTATGACAATTCAACTCAGCAAACACTGTTATCAAACCCATTTTTCACGTGAGGAAACAGAGGCTGGAGCAGTGAAGTGAATGAGCCAGGAGTCAAACCCAGATGTATCTGACACTAAATCTCCAAATCTCTATACAAGAAAAGGTTGTTTCTTTTGAGTTTTACGGTTTCTGTTAAAGGTATAGTTATATCTTTTTAAACTGACTTAGGCAATAACTATCTTTTTACATAGTTTCATTTTAGTAGGAAACAATTATTCTTTTAATTCCTACATGGTGAACAATGCCTGAAAAATTCACATATACTAATTTTAAAGCTATTACATATATATGTATATACATGTGTGTATCTATATACATACACACACTATTTGTTCTGCTTTTGTGTGTGTGATATTTTTAAGACTTTATTAATTATCATCATCATCATCATCATTTTGGAGGAATTTTAGGTTCACCGGAAAACACCCTTTGCACCCACACATGCATAGCGTCCTCCATTATTATAATCCCCTAACAGAGTGGTACATTTGTTACAATTGATGGCCCTGCATAATTTTTAGGTGGAATACTAGTTAATAGTTAATAAAGAGACCTCCCTAAAAGCTGAGAAGACTCATGTCCACGGGGTGGCAGTGTGACACCCATAAACCTAAGGAGAATTGAAGTAAAGGCTATATTAACAAAACTTAATCTTTTGTTTGAACTATGTACATTTGTGTAGAAATGGATAAGGCAAATCAACTATTTGTGTGATCAATAACTCTGTTTTATACTGGTAAACAGCCATATATGGTTAACGATTGATGTCTCCAACCCACAAGTTCAAGAGAAGAAATATAAATTTAGATTCAAACCTCCTATGAAGATTTTTTTTATTGCTTCTGACAGAATTATGGAATCACAGAATGTGATTTAGAAAACAAAGAATTCAATGTTTTCTTCATTTTTCCACACACGTACAGAAAAACATAAAACAGCTCACATTTTCCAGATTTTATATAAGCCCTGGCATTGCATGGATATAACTTTACCCCTTTCCCTTTATTTAAGAAAAGAGCAAAATTCAGGTGAGAGACACTGAGGTAATCTCAAATCTCTGTTTTTAAGTTAATCACTAGTTTGAATACTTGATTTTTAGAAATAATTCACTTCTAAGAAAACAGAATTCTATACAACCTCTCATTGAATGCTGAAGCCCCTTCTAGAATATTCTTTACAGTTATTTGTCTGAGAAATGTACACAAAACCAATTAGCTTTAATTTGCATTTGGCTCTGTTATCATAAACCCAGTGTTTACAGGCCTGATGTTCATAAATTGTATATATTTATTTAAAGAAAAAAAAGGAGTCTACAAGAAAATGTATACTTTTTCTGCAAACAGCATCAGACTTAGAATTTGTTCATAGCATTAAAGGTTAGGGTAAGGGAAAGTGCGGGCTACTTTCTTTTGCATGACGACACTGAGATTGCTGAGGAAAGCAGCTCCCTCAGTTATAGTCTCTAATTGGCGCACCATGTCAGCTTTCAGCTTCCATTGATAATGACACACTATATACTCAACGGCTGAATAAAAATAAATTAGCAAAGGAGAAAAAAAAACAACAGACTAAATATGAACCTAATGGCATGTACTTACAGCCTCTTCCTTTTTTATATCAGGTCCCAGCATCCATGGAATAAAAAGCAATCTGATTTCTAAGGGCTCGTTATGCAGAAATCTGTTTTCTTCTAGAAGTCTTTGGTCTTAATCTTAGTTGTTTGTCTTTAATTTGCCCATGTTGACTCAGACATTTATCATGGCATTGCTGAAATTCAAACATGCAGACAGTGAATATCTAATCTAAGAGAGATTAAGATATCATATGTTTAAAGTCTTACCCTGCCTGCTCTATGAACTTTCATTCTGAGATTCTAAATGCGCACTTCTATGACTCTTCTAAACACAATCTCTGTATTACAGTTAGATTGTACAAAGTCATTTTTGTTTTTAATAGTATTCTTAATATTAATAAGTGCCTTTCAGGACTGCAAACCACTTGCTACAAAGGCTCTTTGAGGCATAAAATATATATCTGGGACTGTGAAAGCTGCTTTCCTTAAAAAATTAATGTATTGTCTGAGTTAAGTAATACATTCTCTAAATTGTATTGCCTGCTACATGTGAAGTGATTAGTTGCTAATTAGTTAACACAATTACTCTCTCTTCTACAAGAGGCCAGAGACTTCCCACTGGCAGTTTCTCAATAGATCTTTAAGTTTATATAATAACTTCCTATTTGATAAAGTAGGCAGTAGGAACACTCTTCTAGCGTGAATGATGCTTTTGAGAGCTATGTCTTTGATGTTTCTTTTAGAGATGGTTGCTCACCTTTATGAGAAATTTCAAAGGCCCACTCAGATAACTTGCCTATTGTTTGCTCTGGAAAAAAACTGCTGGCTAGCCTTCTAAGCTTATTAAGATTTATCCCCAGGAACTTCTCTTGGAGTTGTTTGTTGGGACCACTGAGCATCTAGGCTGCTATCAGAGAGCCCCTGAAAGTCAAACTACAACTGTCTGAAAGTGGCAATCATAACAACTGTCACTTGTCGATTGCTTTACTAACAAGGCTAGCAAAAACTATGGAAAAGGGTCTGTAGCTCTGAAAATGTGTTTTTACTTCATTGAGGTACCTTAAAAGTGACTAATATCTTAGAACTGTATAATATTTAGAAATTGCAAAGGCTCTCATGTATAGTGTCTCACATAATATTCCTGAACAGCTTGAGAAGTAGGTTTCATTACCTATTATAATCCAGCATTGAAAAATAAAGCAGTTTGATCAAGGACTCAGTTAGTAACTGGTAGATCCAGACCTCTTAAATTCTTAAATCAATATTTTCTAGGGTGGGACTTTGTAGTCGAAATTTTTACCTCTAATTTTAATCTCCAAGGCAATTCTTTTCTAGCCTATATAAATCAATTTTATGACTTTTTTTTTTTTTTTTAGAAACATCACCCAAATGTCTGCTCTGAGAATTGTAACTAGGGTGTTGATGTTTAGCTTCTTGGGGATGCCATTAATGTTTTATGAGTTTTTTTGCTTGTTTTTGTTATATTTTTTATTCTCTTATAGTTTCACCTCCAGAGAAGGTATTCAAAAAGAACTTTTTTGAAATAGGTGGATAGAATGATAAGTAGATGAGATAATAATTTTAATGAATGAACTTAGAACTATTTGTCTTTTCAACACATAATGAGAAAATATCACAACATCCTTGTTAGAGGCATTTATTTATTCATTTATTTAATAAGCACTTTTATTCATTTACTTAGTATTTTCTCACTTTAATTAAACATTGATAATTGGAAATATAAAATTGAAAATTACTCTCCTCCTTATATTCACCTAATCCCATTTGATATGCTAAGAATTTTGGTTGCAAATCAACAGTGATCAATTATCTACCTCTTTAATGTACTAGAAAGCATAAAATGACAAATCGTTAAGCTTTGTATCTATCCAGGTGCCAAAGAACTTGGAACTAACCATCCCAAAATATTTTCTTTCTTTGACAAAGGCAGCTGTTACTTTCATCAAAGTTTAAACTACTAAAGTCTATACTAGTTGACTATTTTCCTACAAAAAAAAGTAATTTATCCTAGAATTATTAAAAGTGAAATTGTATAGATAATGCAAAAGTAAGTTTTAACTGGGTGTATAACAATTTGGGGTAAAGCTGAATTGAGCCAGGAAAAGCTTATGTGAACCAAGAAAAACAGGCCTAACCAGCTCTTCTTGCTCAAAAGAACGGAATCTAAAATGAGTCAGGTCTAACACTGTAAAAAGGCTCTTCAAAGGCCCTCTCATGAATTTACATATATTAAACCAAATTTCATCTGTATTTAAAAATTTTATCTATATGATGGTCAATAAAGTCATGATATAATAATTATACTTAAATAGCAACATTCCTATGGTAAAATCAAGGCTCAATTCTGGAAGTTCTAGAGAAATACGTAGAAAAAATGTAACAGTGGTTAGTTATCTCAGGAGGGTGAGAAAAAGGTATTAAGAAAACAAAATGCTTTAATTCTGTCCTTCTCTGATGTTTTATCCTACATTAATTGCATATTGCATTTTAAGTAGAAAAATAATTTAAAATTTTGTTTATGTTGGGCTTCTGGTGTTTATATGATAAATAATCCCCAGCATATTTCTCCACTATATTATAAAGGTGCCTACTCACATTCATATTGATTTCTTTTAGTTCCGTGTGCATAAAGACTTAGGCATCTCAGTGAATATGATGACTGCAGAGCCCCTGGAAGATGTGTGCTTCTAACCATGTTAAAAACATCATTGTCAGCCAAAGTTTTCACACGGTCACAGTTTCCTCTAACTGGAATAAAGAAATTAACAGTTAAAAGTCATTATTATCATTTGAAGTTGGGAAGAAATGTTGCAAATCTAGCTACATATGTAATATAAATTTATTACAGATTATTTTTTAGCTATGTATTTCTGATCAAAGTCTACAATTATATAATACAAAATACACATATTGGCAATTTACAACATTTTGTAAAGCAATGAACATTTAATATAACGTTTTCAATTGAAAATACTTCTTTGTTTAAAGCACTTCCATGTTTAACTGGTTTTAGTAAAGACCTTAGAGCCCATAATAATGAACTTGGGTTTGTTACTTAGACAACTGCAGAAAGGAATAAGGCGTACATTTTTACAAGAGTGAAAAAAGTAGACTTTGTAAATATACTAATGATTTTAAAATAGTAATATCAAATCATAACTCATTTATCAAATGAGGGTGGGGAATTAGGTATGACACATTAGCAATTTTTGTGCCATTTTAACTTTAGCAAACAGTTGAAGTTAACCATTTCATAGGTTTTTCTCTTTTTAACAGCAATCTATTAAAACTGTATCAGTTATTTTCTCGCCTGAATATATTCAACAGAATATTTTCAACAGAAATCACCTTGTTCTGCAGTTGAGGGACATCAGTTATCGTATTACATGAGGGTCTCCATCACTACTAAGGTTGTTATGTGCTGTTTGGCTCGCTCACCACCTCCTTCGCTGTCCGTTGTTCCCAGTATGCCTGCAGCAACCTTTTCTTTTTTCCTTCTAGCGTACCACACCCTAGGAACATAGGAATAATTGAAATTAGCCATAGAAATCCTGATAAGCAAGATTGTTTAATCCATAAACTTAATTTTACAGACAAACCTGAGTCAACAGGCTCTGATATGAAGCTCTGATAACTGCTTCATTCCTTTCTGGTAGTAAGAACATTTACTTTTCTTCTCAACCCAGTACACCGCTTTTTGCCAAGTGCAGGCTGCACCTTGATCCAGGTAGGTAAGATGGTAGGAAAATTGGCTGCCAAATAATAAAAACAACATAGTTCAAGTTGTTAGCATGCCCATGACAGCTGCAGTCTCTGAGAGTGCTCCTTATAAATAATATCCATCTTCTTCATTCGGTTATAAACAATTTAAGTAATAAAGTAAAAATGGAAGCCATGACCGTTTTTAGAAATGTGAGACCCAGTTGGGCCTATGGACTAAACTGTAGAATTAGGAAGATTTGCCCACCTAATCCTAGACAGCCCTGGACCCAGGCAGTTCTCTAACATGGAGGCTCCCTCACAAGAAAAAAGGAAACAACTGAGCTGTGTGTGACTAATGTGTCCTTCTTGATTTACCAATTCCATTTAGTGGATGCTCACACGAAATCATCACAGTGTTCAATTTTATATACAACCAGCCTTCCACTACTTCATCTCTCTCTCCTGCAATTACCTCACATGTAGAGAGAGGATTGAACTAACTAACCATACTCATTTTGTTTTTCTTGAGTTTGTATGCAATGTTATAAAAAGTATTGTTTGAGTGTATATTTTAAAACTTCATATAAATTTACATATCCAAGGTCTCATTCTGTGTCTTACTTTTCTGACTCCACACTATGTTTTTAAGATCTGTCTGTGGTGTGATATATTGATCAAGTTCATTGCTTCTAAATGTTGCACAGTGCTCCAGGGTGCTCAACCACCACAATTCACTTGCTATTTCCGACTGATAGACATCCTGGTTCCTTTACATCCTCCTGCGTGTACCATTATGGTACTGGCATGATCATAGAGCCATGGATACCTAATTTGATTGAGCACTGCCAAGTCACTGTCCAAAATGGCTGCCCCAGTCTACATTCCCTCTCACAGTGCGGGAGGGTTCCTATTACTCCACATCCTCACCAAATTTTTTACTATCTACGGCCTGGCTTCCAATAAGAGTTCTGCTAACAAAGAATCAAGTCTTCCAGATTCTTTATAACCTGCCTCTTAATCTCCTAATTGTATGTTCTCTATTCAAATAAAAATTCCATTAACTGAAAGAATTGTCGAAATAAAGACTTCAGAATCAAACCCATAAGGGGCTCTCAGTTTACTTAGAAATCTCTGTGCTAACAAGGATTACTCGACTTCTTGATTTCAAGATTTTTATCTCTCTTTTTTCTGGTCTATGATGATCTCCATGTGGTCTGGAGTCATTTTTTTGTTTTAGTCATATGACACAAATGTTAAGATTTTTAGAGAAAATAAAAAAACATCCTTCTTGAAAAGGCCAAGCCTGTCTCTTAAACCAGATGAAATTCAATCCTTCACATATTTAACTAAATGAGGACCTTTTCTTGAGATAAAGCTTGGGAAGGTAGTAGATAAAAGGCTTTAGGAAGTGGATAATAATTCTAAATAGGAGAAGTCCCTTTCCTACTCATCATTAGGACTTTTAATTTTAAACTTCATTGAGTTTCAGCATTTAAGATATTTATCAGGATAAAAATTGGTAAGCTTTTATGGAATTTACAAACCACTATGTGGAGACAGGGCCAAAGGGTTATTAGGAAAGGCCAGACACCACTGCCAAGATCTTCCTGCTATAATGTTTACTTTTTGGCTTAAAAGAAATGAACCTCCTGTTTAAATGAACTGGTGACTGCACGGTCTTTATTTTCTTCCAACTATAAAGTCAAATCACATGGAGATGTAGGGAGAAGGAAAGAAGATGAAAATAAGAACCTAATCCCTTAGTAGAAGTTGAGAGAAATGGCCTAGGCTTATGAATGGAAAGCTCTCATTTGCCTCAAGCTTCATGATTTCCCTCACTGTGAAGTGTTCCTGCAAATCTTCATGATGTTCTACTCTCGCCCCATCCATATCACATACCTGTTTTTTGAAACCTTCAGCCCTCAGGTCTAAATATCTGAGAGTCACATGGAGAGGCCAGAGCATGGGAACCACTTCTCTTGGAAAATTTTGTTTGTTTAATGTTTTAAGCTTCCAATAATGTTTTCCAGAGATGCTAAGAGCTCACTTTCACTTCTCCAATGGCTCAAATCAGCTCAGGGCAGCATCCTGGATATCCAAACAGGAAGCATCACAGATCGTCCAGTCCAGCCTCCTCCTTATAGAAAAGAGTAAACTAAGGGCCAAAGAAGGGGAACGACTCACACTGTGTCACAGTTTGTGAAGCTAAGATCAGACCCATTTCTCCTTGACTCCTTATGCAGAGTCTTCCCCCTATTCCATATATCATAAGTGCATAAGAGTCAGGAACAAGGGTGGGAATGTGCTGGGGGATGCTCCTTTCTCTCATCACTTCCTCTCAGTTTTCCCAGCTCTGGCCACATTGGTTTTAATCTCAGTAGTCATGGCCTAAAGGTCTACAGGTCAATTTCAGCCTCAGTATGGGTGGCCCTGTAGCCCTGAACCCTAGGGCTTCCTCGCTTCACTATGGTACTCTTTACTTCTTGTTGTCTCTGTTACCTTACTCCCCAAACTTCCTCTCCAGCACCTTCTCTCTGCATTCTAGGCTCAGAATAAAAAGCCAGAGAGGAAATGATGAGGCACTGGAACCTGTTAGCTGAGTCTGAGATTCAGTTCCGGGTCTTATTCCAACATTTAGGTCAATAGTTTGTGGCTGATAGGAGTGAAGTGGAGGGCTCTCCTCCTTTACCTTGAGGGTTCTGAACGACAGCTGTTAAAGATTTATGGAATTTCAGGGAGCTTTTCCCAGAGTACAAGGACCCTGACTCAGCCTGCTGGATGGAAGTGAGCCTCCAAGTTCCCTTTCCTCTCCTCTTTATCCAGGCAAATGACCCAGGTCTCTGGGATGAAAGTGGGAACTGCAATTAGAGCAAGCCTGGAATTTTCCTCCAGCGGTTCACACTTGTCTGTCTCCTCCCTCTCAATCCTACACAAAATTAGAGGAAAAAAGGAGCCCCTGGTCAGAGATGGGCTCTTTTATACCTGGGGATGAAGTCCCCGCTCCCTACCTCTTCTCCGTCTACTTAATATGTTTGTAAAAAATAAAACAAAATCGGGTTCTGGTCAAGGTGGAAGAGTAGGTAAATGCTGTGCTTGCTTTCTCCCACAACTGCATCAAAATTACAATAATCAATCTAGAGAACCATTGGAAGAGTAGCTGAATAAAACTACTATAACGAAGGATATAAAGAAGAGGCCAAATTGAGGCTGGTAGGAGGGGTGGAGACGTGAAACAGGCTAGCCCTATACACATGGGTGGCAGTTGAGAATGGGAGGGATATCTCAGCCATAGAGGTACCCCCAGAGGAGTGAGGGGCTCCAGACCCCCAGTGTTTCTGGAGCTGGGAAGAGGAGTCGCCGCAAAACATGGCTATAAAAATTAGTGGGGATTCCGACTGTCCAGGTAAGACAGAAGGCTGCTGGAAACCCAAATGTTCCCTTAAAGGGCTAGTCCAAAGACTCACTTGCTCACAGGCACTCACCCTGGGCTTCAGCAGAGGGACAGAAGCTCAGGGGTTGCTGGAGACATACAGGGAAGGATTGAGTTGTGTAGTTTCGAGGCAAAGAATGTAGGGACAGCCGCCATTGTCTCTGTGTTGAGCCCTCCCCCAACATGGCCAAATCTGAATCAGCATTGGTCTGTTGAGATCCTCTCTCTCCACTCCAGTAACTCCCTGGAACCCTACCTCACACAACTCTCGAATTGCCAGAGGCATATTCCTGGCTGGGCAGCCAGCCCCACTGAATCATCTCCACAGGAGACTCTGTTGGAAAAAATTGGCTGTCCTCAGCTCACGTACCTCCAAGAATGGAGTATGTTGGGGGGTGATCAGCCGTGGCATGAGCTATAGTGTTTCCTGAACAAATGTTGGAGGTCTGCAGGCCTCAGATGGGTGGTGGCTGGCCTCAGTGGGATCTGAGACTTTTGTGAATGGCTACAGGCTCAGTGCTGGCATCAGATCTGGGTCTTCTCTAACCAGAGCACCCCTACCCCCACCCCAGTGACTTTCTGGGACCTTATGTACCATCCAGGACTCCTTCAGCTGCTGAGCCTTGCAGGCAGCCAGCAGATGGCCTCAGACCTTGGGGTGCTCCGGAGCCTTTGCTGAGCTGCCGAAGACCCAGTACTGGTGGGAGCCAGCCTCAGTTCACCATGTGGCCTCTCCCACATTCCTCTAGGTCCAGCATAGGCACCAGCCAACCATGGATCACTTTGTAGCTCCTACCACATAGCTCTGGGCAGTCATAAGCAACAGCTGACATTTGTCTGCATGGAAGTCCCTACCCTGGGGACCAGAACAAACACACTCAGAGGCTGGCATCTGACCACAACAGAGCACTATCTGATTAGCCCCACAAGCAGCACACCCAAAGGGTGGTCTCAACAGGCATGTGAACTCACAGGGGCGAATCCCACTCTGTGGGGCCCATCTGCATACAGCAGCTCATCCCCTGTTAGTGTGACCAATCCTCACAGCAAGTCAGCCTGATGTGCAATCAAGTCTTAACTACAACAGGAAAACATACACGACTCACACAAGAAATACTCCCAGAGCACCTGGCACAGGTGACTGGGGAGATGGCGCCACTGGGTCACACAGGACATCTACTACATAAGGCCACCCAGTCAAGACTGGGAAACATAACAAATCTACCTAATACATAGAAATGAACACAGAAAGGCAGTCAAAATGAGAAAACAAAGAAATACATCAATTTCATGCAACTTGAAATTTTTAAAAAGCTGAGTAGCCATACTTATATCATACAAAATAGACTTTAAAACAAGTAAGAGACAAAGAAGGACATTACATAACGATAAAAAGATCAATCCAACAAGAGAGCATAACCCTAGTAAACATTTATGCAACCAACATAGAAGCATCTAAATAAAAGGAGAGAGTGACAGTAATACACTCATATTAAGGGATTTTAATATCTCATTGACACCAATGAACAGATCTTCCAGACAGAAAATCAACAAAGAAACAGTGGCCTTAAATGATACACTAGGCCAAATAGATTTAATTGATACTTTTAGAGTGTTTCA